AATTCTAAACTAGAAATATTTTAAGTAATGCTATCTAAATCACATCTGCGCGAAAAATCAGCAATTCTGATTTCAGTTTATCCAAATTTTGAACACTAGAACAGTAACAATCAAAACTGAGCACATTATAAAATTTCGTCGGTTATAACCGACGTTCGGTTATTTCGGTTTCGGTTATAACCGATGTTCGGTTATTTCGGTTTCGGTTATAACCGATGGTCGGTTTTCGGTTAATAACCGAAACCGATGCATGCCTACTAACAACTGATAAATAAAATTTTCCGTCTGAATGATGATGAATTAAAGTTTAAACACGAATCTTTAATACATTTCCTATCGATGAAAAACGATAAACAACCAACTATCGTCCATATTACCTGTTTTTGTTATATCTAATAGGATAAACAAAAACTGAATCTAAATATTCGATTGTCACAAATCACATATCGACTAATAGAAAGAATAGGGATGAGATATTTCAGTCAAATAGACAATAAAATCAATAGTAGAGATTCTTTTCAGTACTAAAGTACTTTTTGATTAAAATTTTTCTTTTTCACTAAAATTATAATAATTTAATAAATCTAGTTCCTGATCAACGTATAGTTTTGTCGATCCAAATACATAAGGTTTTTTCAAACTTATTTTCAAAGTCGATGTGAAGTGTTAACTTTAGTTTTCGTGCTTCATCTTTCAACCAACGTGTAAAACAATCACGATTATCCAACGTCGGCAGAAAAATTCTCATAACGGATAATTTTGATAAATGCTTTAACAGAAATACCAGGTGATCCTTTTGATTGATGTAACAAGTAAGTTGTTCGATATTTGAAAGTATTTTACAAAACTGTTCTATCTCACCAGAACTATTGAATGAATCGTACGGATACATATATATATCTAATATTTTAATCATTTTATTCAAATATTTGCGTAATTCATCATCATTGAAAAATGATCGTAAACGATATGGCTGAATAGTGATTGATGATAGTTGTGATGTTTGTCTTAGTAGTTGTAATAATACTAATAACGACTCTATTTCACAAGTTGATGAAATAGTTAGATGTTTCAAATTAGATAATTTAACAATCATTTTCAAAAAATGTATGTGTTCTGTTTTTAGAAATTGATCATCTACATCATCAAAACATAATTTATTTTCTAATGTTAGTGATGTAGCATTCGAAAAGTGATATGAACCTTTGAGTGTTATTGCTTCTTGATATAATATTAAATTTGATACATTGTCGAATATGTTGGTATTATTTATCGACCTATTATAATATCTAGTGGTATACGGTGTCAATACATATACATTTGATATGTAAGGTATTGTATAAATAAGTGCTGAATCTGTTTCTAACTTACATTCAGTATACCAATGGTGTTGTTCTTGCCAGAAGTCACTTTGAAATTTTTCAAACTTATCAAGAATGTTATTGTTCTTATTGCCATGAGAGCAAGCGAATTTAAACTTGAAAATATCCAAATAAGGTAGTGAAGATGTAATCAAATATTCCCATCGATAACCATTAATCATGTCTATGTTATCATCTGCAGATATCGTTAAACTTTTTAAATTCGGTGTTCGTTTTAAAAACATTACTAGATCATCAAATGTATAATCTAACTCAGTCATGACTAATTGTTTTAGATTAATATTATAATGATCAATAAAATTTATTTTATTGTTCAACCATCCACAACGTTCGTTTGGAACACATTTAACATCTAGATATATTAACATTGGTAAACATTTCAATATTTCAACTAACTTGTGTAAAGAACATAAAGAAATTGTTAATTTTGTAATTGATATTTGATGCATCGGTATTAAGCTAGCATTCAATGTTGATACTGATAATGTTCGTAGCTTAGACATTAGAAGAGCAGATACTAGTTTGTCTATTGTAGTTTCAGAATCAATGAAATGGAAGTGGAGTAATTCAGGCATTAATGGTAACATTGATTCGAGTTTTTCCACATTATTTTGTCTGACTCCCGTCAATGTCACTGATCGAAGATGAAAAAATTCATAGAGTGAAAAATATGACAGAAATGTCTGTATCACAGCACATTTGCCCTTATTTGATAAATGTAAAGAACGAATTTGTATTTTTATATCTGGATTTGATAACATTTTCATACAAAACTGATCAAATGTTGACTTGCAAGTATATTGACAATTGAGATATAATGAAATATTTCGAATAAGTTTAGAAAAACGATAATTTAACTGATCAAATGAACGAAAAATATCCAAAGCGTTGAGATATTTGAAACATTCCATAAGTATTTCATTTGGTAAGAATTCAAGTTTCATAACGGTCTGTACTTCACTCATGACAAAGGAAATAAATTACGTCTTAGCGACACATTTTTTTACCTTTGTTTATGACAGAAAATGTGTGTGTTTGTTTATATGAGTTTATTTATATGAGTTTACAATATCACCTGAGTTGGTGTATAATATGATGTAACTATATAAGCTAATGGAAGAATTGGATGGAATAGAGAATTTCTTTACTTAGTTTTTATTTCTTGGCATTTTTTCTCGTTATGAATAACAATTCCTCACTTCATCCAATATTTTTTCCAAAAGTCAGAGTGAAAAAGGAGAATGTTAGAAACTCAGACTGTATTGACGCACTCGAGTATTTATGGTTGTTTTCATCGAAATCAAAAATTTTAAACCAGTTGTTCGGTTGTCATTCAGAACGCATAATAACACACAGTTACTCCAAAAGTTACGAACAGGTTCAGTTTAACAGTACCACTTACGTTCTCTTTTTCTTTTCTTCGTGTAATTACACAACCTTTTTCCTTTTCACTCATATACACTACGTGATTACATTTAGTTATCATAATAAAACGTGCGGAGAGCTTGGGCTGTGTAAGCCTTGTTTTCTTGTCCGTTGGTCAGTGAACAAATGTTATATTGTGATTTCTTCTGAATTCACCTTTTAATATCCAAAGATGCATATAACTGATACACTCACACTTTATTATAAAAAATC